GTCCTGACTGAACTCTGCAGAAACTTCACATCGATCTTCGCATCGCGATGTAAAACAAAATGTCGGAAAACTTTTCTTTGACGCATGCGCATTTGCATAAATGTCTACACACACACTCGCGATGTAAAAAAAAATGTCGGAAAACTTTTCTTTGACGCATGCGCATTTGCATAAATGTCTACACACACACATACACACTACACACAATAAAAAACATAGGAAATAGCAAGAGTGATTACAATAGTTCCTATTGCATTACATGCATAGGAACTAAAAAAGCAAAATCGAAATTGTACTAATGACAAAGACTGCAAGAAGAAAATCTGGATGCCATCAAGCAAACTCAATTCAATCCAATTCATTCATTTATCACATTAGTCTTTACAAGATCATTGTTATCTTTCGGTGCTGTGCGTAACTTCTAGAGTACTATATACTCTACACAATGCTAAATGTATTTATCACTGTTCACATATGTATTATCATTTCTGTCTCCTCTATCCTTTTTAAAATCAATGGCCTTGCTAAGCTTTTTTTAAATCTTTAGTATATGTTTTAATGCTTTTCTTTTTTTCCCTCTGAGAAAAAAGGTGAAAGGTATTCCTGCATGAAGATTTGATTAACCCCACTAGTCATACCTGGGCTAGGATCCCTGTAGCCTCTTCATCATGATTCTTCTGAATTTTGTCAGCTAGATAGTCTGCAAGACATCCATGCTTCTGTACCCTGAAGTAAGTATTTGTCAGTGCTTCTCTCTCTTCATCAGACATATTTGTTTTGGATAATCGGGTGACGGATTCTGGTGTGGCACATGTTAACAACTGGTCCTTAACTTTTTCAAACACCTTTTTAAGACACAGAACAGTAAGGTAAGTTAGATTTAACAATGTATAAGATTGGAAGGCAAAGTAACCAAATTTATTAACATGTATTCTACTTAAAATTGAGGTTATTTTTCTCGTGTTATATTCAAGCATTCACTATAATTTTAATCAAGTCTTCCTATGTGTTCAAAGTAAACATTCATGGGGATCCATTCTTTAGTTTTTCTTTGCTAATCCTGATAACAGACAGTGATGAATACATAACCTCTTTCACTAATGGAAACTTCATCAACTGCAAAAGCAGCAGCTGCTGCTGCCTCGGTGCTGCTGCTGCTATTATGTTATCATCATAATATAAATTTTTATGAGGTACCTCACTTTCACCATCACAGGATGCCCATGATTGGTAGACAAGAGCAGCAATTGTGTCACCATGGTATCCAACAAATGCATCAGTTTTCTTGAAGCTTTGTCTAAAAATTCAACAAAATTAAGTAAATTAGAATGACAAGAAAGTATAATACATACTTCAAGTATTGAAATACACGCCATCGTGTTAGAATGACAAAATAGTAGTTAAAAATAGTGATTCACTCATTTTTCGAGTTCCACATGGCAATCATGCAGCTGCTCAATGAAATTTTCACTCATCATAATGGTTTTTTTGTTTTTTGTATAAAACTCACCGATCCTTGGTTCTGACATCTAGTCTGTTTTTTTTTTGCAACTTTTTTTTCTAGCACTAGTGGCTAATTAACTTATTCAACTTTGATAAGCACTTATGGATTTATGGCGTGCTGGGACAAACCGTTATGAATTACTTTCAATGGGTGTTCTTGTTAAAGGAACACTGGCAATAGTCAGTATACATTATTCATGAATGTATTCACAAAATAGACTACTTTCAAGATAATTCAGGATGAACTGGCCAAATCTAAACTTAAGAATTTAAGTTCATACTTTTGTGCTTGAAGATGACGGTGGTGTTTAATAGTTGTAAACAAAGTCACCCAATCCTCAAGCTGTTTGACAACCCTCAGCTGGTCCTTATTCAACATCGTTGTCATGGCCAAAAAGTGTTTCTCAAGACGATTGATAAGTGGGATTGGAAATCGCTCATGAACAACCTCCTTGTCAGCAACAACTATCAACCTTAAAAAAACAATATAAAACAATGTCAGTAGTATATTTTTATTCTCATCTAAACAGCAGTAAATAAAAATATTTTTGTGTGCTTCCTCTAAAGCTTGTGTAAGTTCCACTACCTTATAATGGTATCTGCAGCACATTAGCACTATTTCACTTTTACAATTCCAATACTCACTACTAGTGTTCAGTTAATCCATTGCGTTCCCACTTTAACACATTCATTTGCATATGTGTGCCTGAAAACTTTGACAAAGTGGTTGGTGTATGTGGTTTGGCTTGTTGTGTGATGACTAGATTTGTGTACAGATTATACATTGAATAAAATGTCTACCTGAATGATTCATGGACGCGACATTTGACACGATGGTTACCAAGTCCAAGATCAACGTATCGTTGACCACCGAAGTAAACATAGTACTGATTGAGAGCGTCATACAAACTCTCATAGAGGTTCTCAAGATTCAACAGCACAACTGTCCGACCAGCTTCCATACAAAGCTTGATGCGGTTGATATTGCGACATACCTGTTAAAATAACAAGTAAAATTAAATTAAATTAAACAGCATTAAATAAAATATTCTCTATGTAATGCAAATAAAAATAGAAATAATAGCTTTAGTAGTGGCATGAAATAGACAATGCAATACATTTTACTTGTGTGTACTTACTTGTGTGTACTCTTGATCAAATGGAAAACTGCTTCCATATATAATGACAGCATCTTTCATTTTGTTCAGATGTTCTTGTAGGATGGGAAGAGCTGCAAACTTTTCAGTCAACACAAGTAAGTACCTGCTGTCCCTGAAAAGTAAAACAAGAGAGTTTTTAGGAATCTACCCTACAAATGTCTTCCAAAAAACATTCTTTCTTCCACTTGGTATCTTGGTCCATTACTGCATCATTATTTTTCGTGTTTGATCCCTGCAGGTGAAGGTTTACACCATGGTTTGACTGTGTAAAAGTCTGCACATTAACTGTAAGCAGGACAAATCTGGAGGGATCAGGTGGTGTCTTCAACGGCCACTTCAAAAATATATGAATAATAAATTGGATGTTTATTGTTAGTACATTCTATTATTTTGATTTTATTAAAGGGAAAGTTCCACTATAAAAATTGGCATTTTTTAAATTTAACTATTAAGTACTGAAAACATACCCATCTGATGTTCCATGGCCTACTTTCTTTGTTCCTTCTAATTGCGTTTGTCCCTGGGCGTCCAAGCTCGCTTTGATAAGGCCAGATGGTGAACAATCTGGATCTCTGTCACACTATGAGTACAAAAAAAGCAACAAATTAAACAAACTTGCTTAAAATGGAAAAACAGTCAGATTGATTTTTATGTTTGTTCTTGATAAAAACATAATTGTTTATTGTTTGTGTTTAATTGACTGATATGCAATTTTAAAAGTAAGTGATTACCATTTAGTCCTAATCAAAGGCTTTGTTCACAACTAAATTATTTATAATGAATTTATCTTCATTAGCACAATTAAATAGTTATAGTGGGGCAGGAAAACCCACCCTTTTAGTTTTCCAACCAGTCTAAAGCTAATTTCATGGCCCTCTACCCACTTTTATAACCCCAATGTTATCACTCAACCACCCTTAAAAACGTCTATCACCTACCTTTTAGTTGTGCCAAAAGGTCAGATGGTAATGGGTTGAAAATACAGATTAAACTAACCTTCTCCTTTTTCACATAACTTTCAAGTTTCCTCTCAAATGTTTTTATGTGATCTTTAGTTTCTAACAAACCCCCGAAGTTGCGTCTGATTGCGTGTTCAATCTCAGCCCAAGTCGGCACATTTCCTGACTTTTTAGCAAACTGGTTCACCATCTTAATCAAGCTGCAAATAAAATTGAATTAAGCAAAAATATTTCCTCTTTTTTATAAAGAATGACCCATATGTCAATGGGGATCATTTTAATCAACGCTCTATGACAATTGGGTGTTGACCTAGCTATATGAAATCATGAATTATCTATCTATAAACAACTGTCTTTCAGAGTAGGGTTCTTTTCAGTTGAAAAAAGGTCAATTTTTTTTTTAATGGACAAAGGATCGCACTATTAGCATCTTTACCACTACACCACACACTGGAAATTCAGTTTCAATATTCTAATTTTTTACCTGTAGAAATCTCGAAGTCCAAAGAAGTCATGCTTTTGGTCTTTATAAATTTTTAAGTATCCTTGTGCCAGAGGTTTCAGAATTTGACTGACAAGGTGTGATGCTCCTGGTTGTGGCGCCTCTGAATGTGATGTCTCGGATGCACATATGCCCCTACGTTAAACAAGATTATACTATTAAAATGTCTTGCAGTAACAATCAAAAGAGCCATTAAAAGTGTTAATTCACAGTTATGTCTACATTAACATAATAATAATAATAATGATAATTAATAAACATGAATTAGATACTTACTTAGCACTTTCAATAAGCTCTTCTTCATTGGGAACACCTCTGGAAACTAAAATCCCTCGATTCATCTTGGCAGGGTCAAGCGCCCAGTTTGAGATGCCTATAAAAGCAACTTTCTTATGAGCCGGTGGATTGTCATCTTCTTCAGAGCCATACTCAAGCAATGGGTGAAGAGTCTGAGGAAAAAACATTTAAAGGTAAGATGTCTGCAAGTAAAGAGCATCTAATGCAGGAATCTACTTCAGTAAAATTGGTCACTAGTCATAAGATAACTATCAACCTTGGTAAAAGCTCAATCATTCTACCAACATCACTAAATAGCTGAGTCTCCAGTGCAAGGGCAGGACTTCTATCATAAAACTAGCACAGCATGTCTTGCTAGCTACTTTATGCCAAGTACTATAGCATACCTAACATGTTTTTATGATTTAGAGACTTTAATAATTAATTATGTTCCTTAAAATTTAAATTTAATTGCATAATCACGTTTGGGGAAAAAAACATCATTTTTTATTCCAAGTACCTTAAGTGGCATCCTTGGTGAGTCTTCTGCAAGTCCAACCTCATCCAGAACAACAACTGACACAAACTTTTTCAGATCTTTGCTTTCTTGAAATCTGCTGCATTGACGGAAAGTTCCAACAATTCCATCAGGTGTTGACAGTGGACTGCACTGGTAGGAAATCATATGCACCTGAATGCAGATTGGACAATAAAATTTAAAATATGGATTGACAATTTTATAGGCAAAAGTACAGTAGGACAGGCAAGTTTTTCTCAGAGGCATGATGCAAGGTAACCTTGTTAGATATTTTATGGATGGATGGATTTACAGTATTTGGTGTAAACATTAAGGATAACCCATGCAAATCTGAAGAAGACTATTTCCAATGGGGAATTTCTGGTCGTGATTAGGCAGTACCCCTAATCTTTTCCAGAGTGTACCGTATTCTTTAACATGCACATGGGCCATAATGCACATAGCTTAAACGTCGCATCCGAAAGATGCCCTTCAGCTGAAATAGAAAAAAAGTAGCGACAGGAATTGAACCGGGGACCGAGAGATCTCCATGTTTCAGCGCACACACAGTGGCTGCCACCAGTTTAGCCAACTGAAAGATGGTGGTAACTGAGCTGACTGCTTCTTATGTCAAACAGAAAGAAAATGTGGTATATAGGAGGCTCTTATGAAGACTAAAGGATCTTTTTCTATAATAAACATTTACAAAAAGAAGTCTGAATATTCTGAAAGTAAGTATAATTGAAAGGAAATCTGACATATGGGTTCATTGAGATATATATTTAGAGATTGTCGTTTTATGATTTATTAATTTCATTGATGATTTTGTGATCATACTATACCTGCTTGAGTTCTTTGAAGAGTTCAGATGCTGCAGAGTCTCCTTGCATGGCATCAGCCACAATAGTCTTAGCTAAAGACTTTGAACTTCCAGGCTTTCCGACCAAAAACAATGGAATCCTCAACTCAATGCAGATGATCATCATGAAAATATTCTCTTTAAGGGCCAAGTTGCGAGCAATATTTGGACCCAATTGAATCTCATCTAAAAAGATATCCTGACAGCTGAAGAAAAAAAAGTAACAAATCTCAGCTAAATATAATGAAACATTAAAATGTATGTTTAATTTGCTGGGTTTTTTAAAATCAGGAAACTATGTATACTCTTAGCATAGTTCTAAAGCAATTTGACTTGTGTTTTTTATTTATTTACTTCATATTTTAATTCACACTCACAATATAAATCTACATGTTTTTATGTCTATTCAGAAATAAAGAAAATATTTGCCTGAAAGGAACCTGTATGAATGATAAAGCCCTGTACAAATTTGTCACAGAGGGAAAATTCAGAAAAATGATTTTAATTAAACTTACCTGTTTATTTCCCTGTAAATCCTTCCACTCCCTCCATATAAGTTCAGTGGGGCATTGAAGCTTTTTGCTACAGAGTCTCTGAAGTTTTCTCGTTTTTCATCTAAACATGCATGGTAACAGACACCAAGGGCAAGGACTAATGCCCAAGTAAGGTCATCAATCGCCTATTAAAAATTGCAGATATTTTGGGATACAGTAAATTAATTTTTTGCTTTATCAAGTAGAGTATTTAATTTTACATCATCTGAGTATTTAATTTTGCATCTTAAACTTAAACTCTGTCCACACAGTCAAACTGTATCCGATGTGTGCCCATATATGGGCATGATGATGTTATACTATATGCCAATATGGGAATATCCCAGTTATTTCTCACATAAAATTTAAATTAAAGATAATTAATTAAAGATAAGAATCATAGTAATAATTTGATAAAAATAAACAATATAACAAATAACACAAAATAAATTTTATTACAAAAAACCTAGAAATACAATATGTAACAAGGACTACAATTACCATATCCATTTCATCACGAAGAGGAATATCATCTTCTGAATCATATTCACAATATTCTTCTTCACTGTCCATTTCTTTCTCTACTCTGTCCCTTGCGTTCTCAATCTTTTCATCAATCAAAGGTCGTAACAGATGTCGTTTGTTGAAGAACCAGACCATCACGTTAAGAGTTCTCTCAACATCTCGTAAGCTTACAAAGCTGCACTCATTCTGTGCAATAAAGAAAAATTTTTATAGATACATATATTTTTTTTTCTCATAACAGACACCATGTAGGTGTGGATGTCACCCTTTGAACGATGACAAAGGAATGAGGATGATGTTTGGTTATGGGTGCAGTCATGGGTTCCATTTTCTGCCATAGGGGTGTTCTTTAAGGAACAAGGGCTATTAATCAGTTTATCCAAATAAGTATTCACAAAATTTAGACATATTATCAATACCACTGCTGCTGCCGCAGTCATTGTGATATCATCGTTATTATTCTTATAACATTACAATTTATATTGGCAGCCAAATTTCATTGAAAACAAACCTTCTGTTCTCTCATGAATGCTTGGGCAGCAGATAAAACTTCACTCACAACTTTAACCTGTTGTGGGATTGCATAGATCTGTCCATTGTTTACCTGCAAAAAAAAACAACAAAAAAAACAAACAAAACAATTAGTCCCTGTTAGTCTTTAAGAAGTAAAAATTGAATCAGTAATATGCAATAATTGGATAGTATATAAATAATACAAAAATATATCTACAGCATGTAGTTATAGCTTGTACTCTCCATAGTCAGTTTATTTTCTTGCTTGGGCAAGCTACTTTGTCTCACTGTATCTGTCATATTTGTTTCATAGGCACTGATTTAATGAATCATACTACAGTATCATCTTTTCTGATTATCAACTATTTGTGTTTATTACACACTACAGTCTAAATTTTAAGGTTTTTTTTAGTAACAATTGTTGGTAGGTAAGGCAGCAGATACTGCCCTAATTTTTATTAAAATTTGTCAACTTACAAAACGTTGTACAATTTGACCAATGTACATAGTTTCTACTGTACTGTTCAGCTGACCAAAGTCCCACACCAGAGGTAGCATGCTTGGGGGTAAAGCTTGGACCCGGTACACTAGCTGACGTAGAGGAATACGACCTAAAACAAATTGGAAATAATAATCATTAAATGCAATATATATTAGAGACTAGAAATTCTGCTTTTATAGTGCAAAGTAAACCATCGCCTCCCCACAAAATAATTTTTTCTGTGAGAATTATTAAGCAGAGATTTGAAAACCAATCAGACATACCAAACTTTAGTTAACATGGTAACAAACAATTTACTTCAACAGCAACAACACAATGAAGAAATGTTACAATTTCATTTAAATTAGAAATTTTGTATGGGAATTATGATAATATTAGCATAAATTTCCTGATTAGTGAAATATCAAATATTTTATATATTCCCACACATACCAAAATCATTAAGCTCCATCTTCTTATTGCCATCTTGCATTTTCAAAATTTGAAATCAACCAAACATTAGTTATCGTGGTAATAGCGTTGTCTTGATTATTGAAATATTCATTATGCAAAAAAGCAATTCACATATAACAATCTGTTGCTTTATTACCATCTCACATTGTGCAAAGTTTGAAACCAATCAGACAATTTTTTTTTAAATATTAATTATGCAAATGAGTAATTAGCATAATGTACTCACACATACCAAAAACAATAAGCTCCATCTTCTTAACACCATCTTGAAACTTACCAGACTTACCAAACATTAGTTATCAAGGTAACTATCCTAAATTACCGTAGTGAAATAATTATGCAAATGAGCAATTAGCATATTCACACATGTACCAAAAATAAGCTCCATCTTTTTATTACCACCTTAAATACTACCAAGATTGACACCAATTGGACTTTGCTCCTTTAGGGTTGCTAATTAGCTTAAACTCAGTAAATTTGAGGTAGCCACTGTGTGTGCTGGACCATGTTACAAAAGTGCACCATCTCTCGCCTAAGCTATTCGTCCCGTGTGCATTATGGATCTCTCTTGAAAACTTACCAAGTCTGTCTTTGGTTTCACTGGCTTTGATGTGGTAACCAAGACCTGCTGCTTCTAGTCTTCCAATCATTTCTTCTGTATGTCTAATTTGTGCAATAAAAATACATAAAATTTTCCATTTATAAAAATAATTTCTTTCAACATAACATTAACAATACTGTCAATCTGAAGATGTACTTTTAATTTATTTAAATCTGTTGGAAATATAACATCCTAGGGTTTCTATTTTGTTATTGGCTGCAATACATGGGTACTGTATGTAGCTTAAACAAATTATACAATAATGTAGTGTTACTTGAAGAAATAACACCAGGTACAATTAATGACAATAAACCAATCTATAAATATAACTGCACCATTGAGAAGAAACTAATTGTTGTACTAATGTATCAATGTTTTCTGTGCAAACATACTGGGTTAGAAGGCAAAAGTGATGTGGCTTTACAGAACAACATATACATTCATTGTCCTGGTGGACTATGCATTGCTCAGAGAAGGGAATGAGGACGTTCATATACTGTACTATAGATAAAAATGCACTAATCTCGGAGACTAGAGAATGTATTATATGGGAGAGTTTAAATTTTAAAACAAATGACATAATGATTATCTAGATAAGTATTATATAAATACTATAGTCAAACAACAGACCACACTTTCTGCTACCATAACAAATATCATAATACTGTTTCAAAGTACCTTTTATAAGGGTTGCAGGCTGCAACTATCTTTAGGCCACTGCCATCGAAGTCAATCTGCCGGCCATTCATGCGTCCATCACACATAATCTCCTTAATGATTCCAATTGCCTCAGTTGTGTTTGCTTCATCAAAAAACAAAACTGTATCAATTTTATACCGTGATTTGTTTGCCCTTGCAAGTCCTTCTGCTTTGCGTACACGTTGAACAATATACTCGGAGGATGTACCTCCATGTACCTTAAAGGGAGACAATGAATTATGAAAGACTGAGCAAAACATTTCTTTTTATTCAGTTTTTATTAATACAAAAAATATTATATGCATTTTTCTACTTAAACTTTTGGTAACTTTTAGATGACTATTGTAAAGTTAAATTTGATTTGGTAGGTCCCATATTCATTATTGAAGGTAGGGGAATGAGCTTTTATTGCTATTCCTGATGATGACATAATTAATGCCAAAATATTGAATCCCAACATGATGGCATGCATTTCAATACTTGGAGTATGTATTATACTTTCTTATTTGAGCTGGTATTGTGTGGTGGGGTGGCCAGTTCCTTTCGATATCACCTTTTTTCTTCCCCAGTATTGAACCACCAGGTACCCATTTATACTCCTGGGTAAAAAGAGACAAATGTAGATAAAGTGCCTTGGAATGAGAGTTTCGAACCCCTCAGGTTGAGAGTTAATGCCACAACCGCTTCAACAATTTGATCTCATAGAACAATATTCTAACCTTCATAAGAATCATGTTGTTTACAGGTTGGTCTGCGACCAATCCATGAGACTGTAACTGACACATGAAGCGAATGAGACGAGTCTTGCCACAGCCTGTTTCACCCATTACAATCACAGGGATGCCACACCTATGAAATACATAAAAGTCAAATAAGTTACACATTAAAGTATAGGTAACATCTCGCCACAGTGTGTCACCAATGAAAATGGCAAAGATGCTATGCAAGATGCAACGATTCAAATATTGTACAACACCAGTATTTCTTAACAACTGAAACTAAACAGACTAAGGCTATGTTCACACACACGGATTAAAATTCCAAAGTGTTCACACAAACAGCGTTCGCTATATTAACGCTGGCGTTAAACTAGTAGTAATATAGACCTATGGGTGAATAGTTTTAAATTTTAAATAATGTACGGGTTCTTAACTATAGTAAAATTAACAGTGTATCAGTAAAACTTTTAAATCTGTGAATTGTTCGAAGTGAACTTATATGATTATTGTATTTTAAATGAACAATTTTACTTTGATTTTTCAGCTAGCATTGTTGGTGTTGCA